TTATCATATGTTTGGGAACACATCACGTTAATTGTGGAAAAATGCATCGTTTCCATATACCGCAATGATGAACATGAGACAAAAGTCATCCGGGGTTACCCATGATACATTTAGTGTTACAATAACTTCAGTAAATATTTTACTGAAAGACAGCGGTCATGATTATTATTAGAAAACATAATTACATCGGGATTGTTGGGAAATTTGGTGTTTGCCACAGTTGTATAAAATCCAAAGTCTGCATTTACAAACATTTGCGAAAAAAATGGGTCGTTCTGAAGAGATCGATGAATTCAAGCATGGTACTGTGATTGGACGCCACCTTTGCAATAAGTCAGTTCGGGAAATTTCATCCCTGAGGGTCCCCAAGGATACATAAGTCAAAAACAAAAACTATATTATTCATTTATTATTACTTTTTGTGATGGGGCCAGTGAAAATTATTCACTGATTCGAATCGAAAATCGAGAATCGTTTCAAATTAAGAATCGAATCGAATTGAGATCTTGCGAATCTGAGTCGAATCGGGACGTCTGTATCGATACACAGCCCTATTTGGGATGCACTGGAACAGAGATTGCAAAGCCAGGCCTTCTCGTCCAACATCAAGGCCTGACCTCAAAAAATGCTCTACTGGATGAATGGGAATAAATTCCAGCAGGAACATCTTGTAAAAAGGCTTCCCTGAAGAGTGGAAGCTGTAATAGCTCAGCTGCAAAGAGTGGGAACAACTCCATATTAATGGTCAAGTGTCCCAAGTCCATATAGTGTGTATATATACACACACAGTTGAATAATATTGTTTGATTGGAAACAGCTTGATTGGAAATGACATTTGTTTGAATGTCTTTTCTTCGTTCACAGATACCGCAGGGACACCTCCACATCGCTCAGGTGCCACAGGGGGAACAGGTGCAGATCACACAGGACAGCGAGGTACACATCATTTCCTTTAGGTTTCTTCGAGTCACTCCACCCCTCATTTGTGCTTACTAAATGAAGGTCTCAGGGGGTTGAGCCATCAAACCTCAGAACTGATCCATAATTATTTCTGAGCTACCAACTTCAGTATGATCTTTGTCTGAGAAATCTCCCTAAGCCCTGATTTCGAAGGCTCTTGATTTGTACTCGGTGTCCTAGATTTGAACAGGATTATTTAAATGTATCCGCAAATATGTAAACAATGTTTGGATCAAATCCATCCATCATCCTGAGAGGAAGAGAAAAAAAATTGTAGAGCGTTTCCTGTCCTCGTTTACAAAATATTGATGATGACCATAGACTTCAGTGCTCATGTTTTTGGTAAATTCCCAGTGATATTGTTTGTTTTTGAGTCCAGAGCTTAGCAACAGCGTGCCACTTCATCCAACCTCCACTCACAAAGACCGTCTTTGTAATACATTTGGCCCGCCTCATCAAAACCATTTATCTGAGAAAGTTTGTAAAGGAAATGAGCCGTCGTAAGACCATTTCCCTTTATCCAGATATGTGTGTGTTTTAGAGTCAGATGGAGAACATGATTGAAACTTTGCTGTGGTGTAGTCATTTTATCACTGATCAGTGATTCATCAGCCTCTGGTGGAGAAACGAAATATTCATGAGCGGTTTCAGTTTGCAATATTTTCAACCCTGTTACTAAACTTTGGTTCCTTATTTTCTAGAAAAATAAACGAAATGAAATAATAAAAAAGGAATAATTAATCAATATGAAAAAATCAGTGTAAAAATTAGCTCACAGTTGGGGCTAGCTAAACTGGGGCCAAATGTTGGTTTTCAATTCATTTCATTTCATTTGTTAATTTTTTTTCCTGCAATATCTATCTAAGGTAACAGGGTTAAATGGGTGAGCTTGACGGATGCACAACACTTTGCAAAAACTGGGAAAAATTAAAAGATTATTGTCATCTTCCGGCTGTGGAAAGGGTTTAAATGCTTTTTAATTTTTGTAATGATGGAAAATCATGTGGTAACAGGGTTACTGAACAGCTAAATACTACAATTTTGATACTTAAAATTAGTTTTTAATTAAAAAAATGAGTTACATTTAAATTCAACTGATTTTGTCAAAAATATGGCATGGCCTATTGAGTTGTTGGGCACAGTTGAGAAGGATAGACCAAAATGACCATTTTAAGCATGAGGATCACACATTTGATGCTACTTTAATGCTAGTCAATTTTATGTTAGATAAACTGTATTTAATAATTATCACAACAAAAAGTTGTTATTTGTTCACCCAGAACACATTTTTAAATTGTTTTTCTATGCAAATATGCACTACACTTACTCCGTTGTGCTCGCATCTTTTACAGTGTCCCATGTGTCACACACCCTTCTAAAAAAGCGGAAAAGACCCTTAATCCTTTTGGAAAAAAATAACATGGGACACTAATTTGTACCTCATTCAATTGCTGAAATTTGAATACGTTATGTTTCTCCTCTCTTGCAGGGCAACCTACAGATTCACCAAGTGCATGTTGGGCAAGATGGCCAGGTAAATGTAGGTAGCCTTTTCCATTTATTGGTCCGTGTCCATGTGACAGTGTCTTTTTGTGTCCTCTCTCGTTCTTTGGTTTGTTCTGAGAATATAATGTTTGGGACAGTGTGCACTTCCTGTTTCTCAGCTCAGCTCCATCACATCAAAGAGGGTCTTTAGATCAAACAGGGCTAAAAAGCAACAGAGACTCGTGTTGAAATGAGCTCATTTCACACACACAAACAAACTCAACTTCAAAATTTTGGATCCATGTTTGTTATCTTCCTTGGGGTGGCAGTGGCTCAATGGGTAACACTGTCGCCTCATAGCAAGAAGGTGGTTTGTTATCTCCCTTACTAACATGTGACACCACCTTGTATTGAGAGACCGGTGCGTCCATGAGTCCTTTTCGAATTATTTTTTCCTTTCAGTAATTCTATTGTGTTTTTGTCATTGTTGTTATATTTCTTTTATGTCTGTGTAGTTCTTTTCATTTTTATTTCAGTTTTAGTTGTTTTAGTACATTTTATTAGTATATTTGTTTTATTTTAGTGAACATTTATTTTATTTCAAGTAACGAAAATATTTTTTATGGTTTTAGTTTTAGTTAACTATAATAACCCCAGTCTTAGCAACCATATAACAACATTAATTAAGCATTGTGGATGAACATAGTCTGCAAAAGCTGCACACTTTTTCTTCAGAAAATGAAATTGTGATCTACTTGCTGTTTTAACAGCAGTTTTTTTCTAGCCTGTTTCTCAGCTCTATCTTTTTACACACACTCATGCACCCATAACATACCTCATTATGATGATAGTTTTCATCTGTATAGTAGCAATGAGAAAATGTTTGCCTTGTTTTCCTTTCTTTCAATTATTCCTGGCATATCGCCCATAGTGTAAAAGGAGCCCAGATGATCACAGATATAAGGGGGCATTCAGTCCCCAGTGCCAAAGTTTACACATAGACAAAGTACGTGTGGACAACATACTTACTAATATGGGTAAGACAAATGTCTATCTGTGCTTTCTTCAAGAGAAAAAAGAGCAAAAGAAAATGTCATTAACCCTAAGACAGTCCTGGTCCTTTCTCATCCTTCACTGTCATTGCTCCAGAGATGGTTTCATGGACTAGGGTTTGATATATAGTAATCATAATGGTGTACCATGACTCCAATTTGGATTCGGGTCACAGTTCAGAAGAAGGATTTGAATCAGGACAAAAAGAGTATAGTTAAGCATACAGGACAGTGTCTGTTGTGCAAATGGATCACTTTTTGGCGAGGTAATTTATATTTTTAGGCGTTATTTCAGAATGTCTTGGAATTGTTCACCCAAAAAGGAAAATTCAGACATTGTTTATACAGCCTGATGTCTTTCCAAATCCATATGACTTTCTTCTGTAGATTTTTTGTGAATTTTTTTTTAAGTTTGGACGTCGTTGACATCGAACCTGATGCAACACGTCTAACAGTAAATATTAGAGAATATTTACTGTTTGTCACACAGAAACTTGGAACCTAATCCACGTATCATTTAGACTCTTAGAAGGTGCTTTCATGGTGTTTTTCTTTCTATTTTGAGCTTTAAAAGACAGTCTGTCCTGACCTTCTCGTAAAAAGAGCAGTGTGAAGTTCCTTACTTACTAAGGGATTTGCCTGGTTAAGAAGAGTATCTGAAGTTTTTACAACCCCATCTGCCCGCCATGTTCTCTTTGCCGTAAAGGGGATTTACAGGCTGTCGGTCTATAACAGCATGCCTTATCATTTAGCCCCCTTCCACTATCTAAAACAAACACACACAGTCGGCACATGAAAGTCATGAGAGAAAGTGAAGGAGTGTTAACGGTGTGTTAAATCAGTCAGCGACCTCTTGGGATGCTCTTATCTGATGCCCCCTCTCCTGCCCTCTGATCTGATCTGGTACAGATCGAAAGCTAAGGAAAGAGAGCGAAAAGAGGGGGAGAAGACTGAAGTCTGTGGAGGTTTTGTTTTTACTTGGTACAATTGGTTAGTTCCACATTGTGCTCGCAAATTCTTCAGACCAGACATTGCAGATGTTTATTACTGAAACTTCTCGGTCCTTGTGTTTTCTATCAACAAGAGTTCTTTATTTACTTCTTCTTCCACAGGGAGATTATGCACAGTTGTGCACATAGTTGGGGTTCTGTACGGTGCTGCAAGACACTACCTTGACCAGTTTAGAAGTAAGAATGGAGAGATTTAGCTCCTTTTGGTGCATTACTTTATGTTCAGATTGTGAAGCTCCTTCAGTGCTGAATTATTCAGGAGCTTTCTTCAAGCACAATAGATATATGCACAGCGCTGTAGCAGTGTGGTTGTATCTCAGTAGCTTGTGAGTCTATAGTCTCACAGAGGCTATTTGCAATCAAAAACACTTCAGCGGTCTGTCTGACTGACACGTATAGTGAGCAACCAAAATAAAAGTGATGTGAAGGCCAAGTATGGCAACCCATACTCGGAATTTGTCCACAGTTTTATACAAACAATATTTCGTTTTTTTGCACTGTGCACTTTTTTTTATATGCACAGAGCACTTTTGTATTTTTATGGCCACTTAATAAAGGCTAAATGATTAAAAATGCTGATTTTCATAAAAATGACGTCATCATACTCTGGTTCTAGTCAGAATGTGAGTCTGATGCTGCTCCATTGGGCTGTGATTATGGGGCGTTTCAACCGAAACAGGAAAAAAAATAGGAAGCCGTAGGAAGGACGGCAAAAACATCTTTCCGATCGACAAATGCCTTGATCGCGGTTCTCTGTTCCTCTTTTAAAATGAATCCGCTGTCTATACATCTTCTATAACAGACGCGATGGCTGTATCTACACATCTAAATTCTCCAGCGGCAGCCATACTTTGGTCCATACGCTCTTTGGTGACGTGGATGATTACGTTACTGTTGATCATCTGTCCATCATCGTATAAAGCCCACCCTGACAATTTGATTGGTCCGAACAGCTTTGGTTCGGGCATACTTGCTTCTCAACGGATCAAGTCAAGACCGATCTTCCCATCCTCAAATGTTGTGGGCGGGGCTAAGTTCGGCTTGCATCCAGTCTATAAAATGCACATAAATAGGGATTAAACCGCATAGTTTAGGCATAGCTACGCATAGTTTAAGATTTTGACTCCAAATTAGATTTGAAAATGTGTATCTTGGTACCTTGAAGCAATTTTGTGTCCCTGCTAGCTATTAAAAATGTAGCACTAAATGAAAGTCAGGCCTGAAAGAGTCTGAAGTTCACATGTCGGGCCTCTCAAGCAAACAGAGCTATGTTTTGAAAGAAACCTGCTTCATTTACCTATAGACTTTTAACACTATTTGCACATCTGAAAGTGTGCACTGCAAATGTAGACTGCACCAGAAACAGACCCAGTAAAGTCTGCAAATTCAAACAAATGTAAGAAGAGTAAGGAAAAACTACTGTGATCTGTTTCTAATCTGCTTTTTTGGATTTGTTGTTTTATTGAATTTGGACAAGATAAAAATGAGCTCAGGAGTTTAAATATCATTCACAAGCTGCATCTGTGTGTTCAATTGATGTAACTTTTTCCCTTGGTAAATGTGTGTATATTTATATTGGTATGTATGCAATTATGCCCATTTGCAATTCAGAACTTCAAGTTTCCTCTATCTCAGTATTGAAACCAGATGTGTGCAGAGCTCACAACCATTAAGTACCTGCTGTTGGATCTAAATTCTCTAGGATTCAAGGTTGTTGTCACAACCTTGGGGCTTAAATCCCAATTCAAACTCCTAAATGAATTTACCCTTTTTACCTCCATTGGAACAATGTTTTCCCCCAAGATATAAAACAGAAAATGTTCAAATAAAATGGTCTATGGCTTTTTGCGATCCCAGTGATCTTTGTGTCCTAATGGAGGGGATTGTATTTCAAAGCATTGTTGATGCGCTTGCCTGTCTTGGGTCGTGATAGTGGAGTTCTGGAAGCTAATGTGGTCATGGCTGGGATACAAAGATCTTCTCGCAAATATTCACAAGAAAATCCCTTGTTAATCTAATGGAGAGAAGTTCTCATGGAGCTGATGCAAGATTTGTTGTCGGTGGACTCTGGTATGTACACAAGTCACATTGCTTGACTTTCCTCATTAACCCTCTGGGGACCAGAAACGCGCCGGCGCGTTTTGCTCGTTTTTTTTCACATAGCAGAAAAATAGACTTAAAGTACTACCATCATTTCTGTTCATATAGAGTTAAGAAATATGAGAAAATAATCTGTTAAATGTCTACTTTTTTATGTGCCCACATACAATCGAAATAAAATATTGTGCTTTTGTAAAATAAAGAAAATAAACAGGGTGTGCGTTCTGCCTCTCGGTCACCGTGAACTTTTTTTCTGGAGCACGTCTCTAATCTTCAACACAACTCAGCTAATACTATTCACCCAGCCATAAGCAATATATCTTTTAAATCATTTGAGTTTGTACTTTTAAATGATCCGATTCAAAACTAAAATTATTATTCTCCGTTTATGTCATCTATATAAAAAGAGAGACGTGTCAGCCCATCTCATTATCGTTCTCTCAGCTGATTATCTGTGGTAATGTGACACGCCTACGGAGAGCACGCGCTATTCAAACGCAAATATGTGAAGCAACACATTGAGACGCGTTAACGCCCATGAACTCTGAAAACACACATTATTTTTTAGTCAGATTAATCTACTGTCGTCTTGCGCGGCTATATGTGGAACAATCCTGGGACATTTACCACTGGGTTATTTTCACTTCGAGGATGAACAGATTCAGCTGAGAAGTAAGTGTTTTTTGCAAGTGCTTTGTTCTAATCGCGATATAGAATAACGTAGTGTCTGTAAACGGAAAAATAGCATACTGTTAAATGTGAATCATGTTTGTGTCACACAGTTTGTGTGTGTGTGTGTGAATGAATGAATGAACGCACAGATACGCACTGTTACAGACTAAATAACAGACAACATTTCGTTGACTCGTTTTGGATAAAGTTTTTACTCTAAA